TGTCCAGTCCGATTTGACAAGTCTCTTGGTAGTCAGCCAAGTCATCAAATCACTAGCTTGCGTATCGGCCACTGCAGATGTAGTACAGTGATCGGAGAGCTCAGCCCAGATCTGCTGGGCATCGAAGGTGACTTGGTACTTGCGCACCAAAGATTTGCCAGTGTTGGTCTGCAATTTGTGGAGGAAGATGGTGTACATGAAGGCCTGCTGTTTCTGGAAGAGGTCCCGTTCGTCCACGGATTTGGGCACATAGAAGTGGTCCAAGACATTCAGTGTGTCATGGACGCGTGCGGTGGAACAAAAGGTTCGATGGAAGCTGTCCCACTCTTCATCAGTGCTGAGAGCCGGGTATGCGTTGGGATCGAGTTTCAAGCTCTTCTGGAACGAATCAGCGGGTGTACGACGATCAGGCTTAGATACAAGAGGTTGTGGTAAAGAAGAGTTATTAAAAACTATAAAATCACCACTACATTGATAATTTAGGAATGCTTGGACGTCGATGTGCATGCAATTGATTGGGGTGATTGGATCGCGATGGACGTTTTGACGAAGATAAGCATACCCAAGTAAGGCCCAAAGAGTACCACGATGGGGCCGCTCAAGCTGGGTAAGCTGAGTTTGGCCAGTATCCACCCCGTATTGGTCGATGACGGGTGCATCGTACTTCAATGCAAGGAGCTCATTCTTGTTGTAGGAGAGGAGGTGCATGAAGTGCAAGCATCCATCACGACGAAGAGCACGCTCTCAAAGTATTGGTGCACCAAACCAAGTTCTTATGTCAAGCCAGCTGAATTTTGGACTTAGGGATCCATTTGTCCATGGTCTGATCAGCTTGAACGATGGTAGGTTCATACAAGTGGTGAGTCAGAAACGGAACGATCCCTTTTTTAAAACGTTGCGCGCCAGCTGTCCATATTTCTTCCGGCAGACAAAGATGTAGGTACCTTCCATTTCCCCACGGAGAATCATGAGGAAAAGTGGTCCAGCTTTGTGTTGGTCCAAATCATTCTTGAGCTTCCTATCTGTAGCCTCAGCTAGTTTTCGCTGGGCGGGAGACAAGTCTTTCAAAAAATGATTCTCAAGATTGTCCTGCTTGGAACTTGTCTTCTTCTTCTTCTTCACCTTCTTTGTTGCCGCCTTTGTGACCATAGTGTTGTCCTCCAATGAATGATCTTCATTGTCAGAAGAGTCCAATCCCGCCTTTCTTTTTGATACTGCATTGTCCTGAGCTGCTGCTGAGGCTTGATTAGCTTGAGCGGGTGTGGCTTTGATGGAAAGCAATAACTTGAAAAGTGTGCAGGTGCCATAAAGAGTCGTCAAAGAGAGCTTAAACATCCCTCTAAAATCAGTGCCCGGGTAAAGGATCTCAGTCAAGATGTCGTAGTCTCAAAGTTTACTAATCAAGGTCAAAATTGCATCCTTCACCGGGCCATAGGCCTTAACACTCAAGTGTCCTTGTTGTGCAGACTTCTAGTTGCTGATGTATGTAGCCGGTGCCGCAAATGGAAAGTCAGGTTTTGGTGTAGCCAGATGTAAGAGAGATCTCAATGTACAGTCCACTTGCTTAGAATGAATCTTCCGAGTATAACAATGAGGACTTGTCACCCCCGGTGAGTGTTCATCATATTTGGCGCAACCAGTATACGGGATAGGCACCCAGTCCAGTTTGATGCCAATTGGAACCAAGAAATCAAAGAGCCAATTGTGAAGATTGGTTCTTGCTTGTTATCCAGCTCCCCAACCTTGATGTCAAAGTCCTGTGTGCAAGTAGTCTTGAGCTGCCCCCATCAAAACTTCTGACGCAAAGCTGACCCATAGCCTGGTAAATAACTTCTTCTGACCCGGTTTACTGTTAGTGGCAGCGTAAGCACAGTTTCTGTAGTCCATATCACAGTAGACCAAGAGAGCCCAATAATTTGGTAGTTTGTTACAAATGTCGGCCGACGATTGAATCCATAAGTTCTGCTGTTTCTAAGTGCTGTCAGAAATTGGAAGGATCCTCAATTCATGAGGAGAATTATTGATCGCTTCCTCCAGGGAGTTCAAGACTGTCAAGAGAACCCCTTCTGCAACTGTTCCTGACTTGGAACCCTGGTAATGAAAGGCAAAGGTTGTTTCAAAAATGTGGCATTTCCCAGGGATTCCCACCAGGTTCACTTGAGTCAGCCTGGAGAGTTTTTCCTCAACGGTTAGTGGCCGTTGTAGGCGTGAGTTGGTTGTTGGCAAGGGGTTCTGAGAAGCCACAGGCGTAAAATCGACCCCAAGGACTGACTTGAGTCAACACCGGGTTGGTATCCGCCCTTGCCATAGTGTCTATCAAACCCTCCCTTTCTTCATCTTCCCCAGCATCTTTCATCTGCACAGATGTAACATCCCCATCATCATCTTCATCGTCATCAGAGGACAATAAGAGACTAGGGTTGTGACGAACTCCTGTCACCTGCACCTCATTGTCTTCATCGTCATCCGGAGTCTCCCTTCCATCAACTGTCATTGGGTCCGCCTCCACATCCCCATCTTTAGAAGCCCAATCTCCATCCGATACATCATTGTCTGCAAGGGCACTATAACAATTGTTGAATCAATTGCACTTCTGCCGTTTGTCCATGCTGTCTATATCTTGCTGATTTGGATTTTCTTCTGATCCATGTATCGGATTGTAGATCTTCTTAATTGCTTGTTGGGAGTGTTGGTTGGCACTGGATGATCGAAAGAAGGATTGAGAAGTTTTTTTATACCGTTTTTGTTTGATACCACATATGATAGACGAAGGTGGATCATTCTAGTTATCGTCATCAAATGTAGTCGCCCATGGATAATCAAATAATTCAGAGCAGATCAACCACAAGCCAACCAATGGATTTTTGAGGTGAAGTCGTGGATCTGACTTGGCACCATCAAATAATTGATTGTTGAGCGGTTTTTCCTCTGCAAAGAAATTTGTATTGTTGTTGGGATATGACAAAATATGAGTTTTTACGTTCCAAAAAGAAACTATTCAAGTACAAAGTTTTGGACACGTACGATCAGACTTTGGTCGTGATGTCGGGATTTGACGCAAGTATGCCGGACGCAAGTCTGTCGGACAATCTACATCCACACAAAAAGGGAATGACCCTATACAAGTGAGATATTGGTGTTGTGTACGATGCAGTAGGGAATAATACAAGATGTCCCAAAGTACTGCATTCAACACAGAATTGTTGTAGAGGTCGAATCAAGTTCTGTAAACAAGGGATTTTGCAAGGGAAAATTGTTGAACTTACTTTTGTGATTGAATCATCAATTCAAGCCAAACATCAATCAAATAGGAACAATTTCACTCAAAGTATACCTAGACACAGGAGAACTAGTGTCGTGAAAGTGTTGTACAGTCGATTGCAAATTTAGATTGCAGAGAGTTTGTTCTGAGCGCTAAAGGCACTCACGATAGAGCACATTTTGCTTTATTCTAACATTCAATCACAAAAGGCAACAAATCAAAAATACGTCAAGAACAGCACTGCCTTATCTACAAAGGAGTGAGTGATTCTAGGGCTCCACAGTCCCACTTGGAGAACTTTGATGCGCAACTGTAGTGCGCAAACGTGTCTTGTAGTTGCATGAATCGATTTTTGTGTCACAAACAAAGCATACTCTAGAATTGACAAAAATAGTGATGTATCGGCTAACACTGCAATGAACCAACGCCAGAGGAGACAGCACATAAACTGAACAGCACTCAACAATCAATAAAGTGTTTTGGAACAGCAATAAAATAATAAGCTTAAGTATTTGAAATGGGCCTAGTCCTTCTGAACAAATTCTGCGTCAGATATTGGCTGAAATGTTTTTTGAAGCTCTTTTTTGTCTTCTTCACTAAGTGGTTTGTCCTTGTGCTCCTCCTTCCATCTTCTGACAGCGTCATTTGCAATCAGAGCCCTAATACTGGTGTAGGTGATAGACACAGGTTTGCCTTCATTGTATGCGGCCTTGTCGCTTTCATCAAGAAGTTCTCAAGCGACCGCCTCAACTACCATTGCGTTCATATTTTTTGCTTTCAGACACTTTGCGAAGACGGCTCTGCCGGCCATGTATGGAGTTGTGTCTACGCCTTGCTGCCTCTGTCGCGCCGATCCACTGAGACTCTTTCCATGTTGTTTCTCCACGTTTGCAGCATAGTCGGGTTGTTGTCTTGCACTTTCTTTTGCACTCTTATCGCCAAGATTTGCCAGTGTGATATCAAGTTTGTGTTCATATCCTTTCTTGTCTTGTGTTTTCTGTTCCTCCATGTAATTGTAAATATTGAGGCTGTGTTTCAATACATTTTCCAGTCTTGCAGGACCATGGCTCAGATCCTCTTTGTACTCTCCACTATATCTGGACTCTTTCCCCTCAGCAGATGCAGCAGATGCTTCGGACGCTCTCTGTTCTCTCATTGCTTCCCCATATGAACTTAGTAGTAGATTAGGTTCATCACACTTGGTGAGAAGCGGAGCTCAAGCAATACCATACGAGCTCACATTTTGTTCGTTCTTGCCGGTTCTCTTGCACAATCTTGCCGTTTTCACGCTCCGTTTGATCTCTTCCATTGTCAAAGGAAGCGGAGCATAGAAGTTCATATAAAAAACCAGATCATCCCAACCCTGCTCAGTCGTTGGGTTCCAAAAATCTGCGCTGTTTGATATCTTACATAGGATATCATAAAGGCGTTCAAAGTGCATTGTATCAAGACAATCCAATTTTCCACATTCGATCAAGAACCTTGCAAACGCCTCAAGATCAAATGTTTTATTATTGTGCATAGAAGACATAAACAACTTAGCCTCTTGGCCTTCCACTAAATCTTGAGCACTAAGATCATCTTCATCGCACACTAGCATCAGATATTTGCAACAATAATTGCTGTTGGTTTTTCACCAAAGCATCCAAGAAACAAGAGTTTGTTGCAAAAGTGTTGGTCGTGCTTGTGAAGCGATATCTCATACAGCTTAAGGAATTTTCTAGCACGATCAGTCTGGTATTTGGTGTCCAAGCCTTCACAGTCCCTCATTGCTTGCCAAAAGGAAGGAAGCTTTGCAGTTTGCGGGGGTCAAGCGATGTACTGTGCTCCTTTTTCCACCTCCTGTTTTGACTCCTTCAGCTCGATAGTCTTCAAGAATTAGCAAACCAGGTGATGGTGAGCTAGGAATCCGGTTTGTCCAATGTTCTTGTCCAGGGCATGATTGAATTCCATGTGATTGTTAAAAAAGCTCTTGGTCAAAATCAAACAAAAATGCCAAATCACCCTTGATCACTGGCTCTTTTGCCAAGGAAAGAAAATTTCTGCCACACTTATTCTTCTTTGAGTCGGTTTTTTCCACATTGCAAATGGCGCTGATAAAGTAGACAAGGACATCAAGATACTTGTGAATGTACCTTGCAGCTTCTCCAACTGCCTTTTACCTCGTCAAAATGGGTTCCTGCATCAATCGAAGCAAATCCTTTGGCACCGCTTTCTTGTCGGGAAATTTCCCATGGTATGAAGCTTTGAGAAGATCAAAGTATTCGTCTTTGTCAGAAAATTCCCTTTGAAAGTAAGCATAGGCATGGAGTAGTTGCATATCATTGCGTCTTTCAAGCCCGCCTTGACCAAAGATATTTTCAATTGCAGTTCGAAGATTGGTCTGGTCATTGTGAGAGGTGCATGGACAGTGGATGTATTCAGTATTGCTAGCCAAACAAACTCTCACAAGCTGTTCCTTCATCTTCGCGTTTATGAATCCCCCGCCACTATCGCTTCCTCCACCCTTGATGATGTTGTTCAGTTGGATATGCTTATCATCACCAAAGACATACCTTGACATTGAATGATAGACGGCATCTGCACATGCTACCGTGTCCTCTCCAGAACCATCAAAATCAAGGTCGATAGTGTCAATTATCCCATCTTCTTCAGAGAAATAGCAGATTTTCTTTATCAAACTACTGCCGCCTTTGTCTGCTCCAAGGAAAAGCGCTTTGGCTTGCATCATTCGGGCGCCTTGACGGATGACATTGTGTGCTGCTGCTCTTTGCGCATACCTGTTGCCTGTGGTTTGAGATGGCATCATTTTGAGGATCTGAAGGTGGCTCATAGTAGATGCTTCCTGATCTTTGAAGTCAACAAGCTTGAGGATGGTTGCAAAAATAATCGCAGCCAAAAAAAAGATTTGCTCAAAAGCAACACCGGGGACCTGAACACACAGACCAACAACTGCTCCAAGAAAGAACTTCATTTGCTCATCCAAGACGCAGATTTTCCTCTTGCTTGCCTTCCGGATTGCTTCGTACAGTTTCTCTGTCCGCTTGTAATGATTCAATTTCTGCTTGGAAACGAGTTTGTAGTTGTTTGGGCATGGTACCCGCTCCCCGTCAATCAAGAGTGTGGTTCTCATTCGTCTGTTGTTCTTGTTTTTCTTCTTCTTTCCCAGGCTTGGGCTGTTATAGAGGATTCCCCTTGGCTTGGTTTGGTCGGTTTCACTCAAATGATTTTCCGCATCTTCTTCTGGTGCCGTGCTTGTTGCGTGTCGCTTTGGAATCTCATCGGAGTCATAGTACTGCTTGAAGCTATCTCGGATGATGGCAATGTTTGACAGGTCAAACGATGGTATTTCCTTCTCTATGCCTAGTTGTTCACTAAGGGACGGCAACTTTGCTTCTGGTGGACCAATCAAGACAAATGAGTGCGTGGAACCTTGGATTGTGGTGTTGATCTTGAAGTCAAAGCCATCAGCCAAAATTTTAAGCATTCTGAATATCTTCTTCTTTGTTTGCATTTTACCGTTCTTGTTAGGTGCCACAAGTCCGGAAGCAACAAGAACATCCAAACACTTGTTCTGGTCCAATCCCAGTATTTCATGGAATGTTCCGATGCTTTCATGAACCTTGCTTTCTTCCATTTCACGGTGGAACAACTGAAACCAGTGACGCGGCAACAAGGATTTGTTGAGAGCAATCAAGCTTCCCGCCAGAACATCAAAAGGGGTCTTTGGTGATTCAAGGTTGGCGTCTTGTAGGCATGGGAGCTTGAATAAGTTAATGTCTAGACAGGTAGTTTTGTGTCCAGGTTGATCAGTTCTGGTACTGCTTTCTGTTGTTTCTTCGTTTGGCTGCTCACTCATTGATGGTTCATTGCCATTCGCATCACCATTATTACCATCATCACCATTATTGTACGACCATTCATCATCTTTGTCTAGTACATACTGGTTGAGCACACCAGGTGGAAGGCTGTCTAATGAGATTTTGTCAGCATCGTTTCTGTTATGAGTATCTTGAGCTCTATCGCCGTTGCCAGCACAAGGGTGCTTGCTCTTCAATCTTTTCTGTTGCCTCATGCTGCGGAATGATATATTTTGAGATAAACGGGGAGTGCATCCCAGCACTCCGTGACATGACCATGGTCGTGTGGACACGATGGACGAAGTTTGTATGCGATGGATCATGTGTTTCCAGTTTCAGCTATTTCAAATGAGTTGGATTTCCGTTGGACAATAAGTAGATTGAAATCGGCAGGACAAGCTATCATAAATAGGGTGACATAGATGTACTAAGTAATGCTTTCTTTTTTGGAGGTTCGCAAAAAAACTTGAATTAACACTCCCTCCAAATGCTAATGCGCACAATTTTTATCCATCTACATCCTTAAACGCAATGGTCTCAGTTCAACCCCTTTCACCAAATCAAATTGACTGGTAACATTCAATCTCTATTCAGCACATCCCAATTGACCGAGAAATGATTTAGCCAGGAAATTCTGATTCTACGTAAATATGTCAAAGTGGGACTGTGGATTTGTTGACAATGGGACGTTCTTCATCCGGTGGTGGAAGAGGACGTGTGACTCCTCAGAAAGTCAAGAGCAATTCAAGTTCAACAGTTGTGAAACATCTATTTTCAACCAAAGATGACAACGATGGAAAGGCAAGATTGTCATACGAAGATGCCAAAGAAAGAGTGATTGACTACATCCAAGCTTCTGGAATGAAATGTTCCGAAGATATTGTGAAATCAATTTGAGATGGAAAGTCGATTGACTTCAATGCAATCGCTCCAAGATTGAACGCTCCAACTCAAACTGAAGCTGTTGCAAGAGAAACAGAGATGGCCCAAAACAAGATTCTCTATTCTGC